TTTCTTGTAATACTATATCTTCTATGTTGTCTACGTGGTTCAAATTCAGTAATATGTCTTTGTCTCCTGGGGCTGAGAATGCTGATGCAAAGTATTTGTTTAGGATGTTTGCTTTAGTTTCATTATCATTATGTATTATGTTATGTTCATCTTTTAATGGCGCTATGCCTGTTGTTTCCATTTTCTTAGACTTAATGTATGACCATAGGATTTTGTTGTTATCTTTAGATATTACATTGTTTATGTATTCACTCTGCAGCTGTCTGCTTACTTTTTGGGTTAAGTGTTTAATTTTTATATATTTTTTGTAAAATTTTTCTGCCTTAGTTTCTCTAAATTTTCTATATAGGTTTTCCTTCTGTTTACAAAGCTTCTTTAGTTTATTATTAAACCAGCATTTATTTATTTTGTTTGATGTGTATTTATTTGGTATATGATTTTCTATAATGCTTTTAAGATGGTTTTTACCTATTAAATATGAATAAAGTGGACCTCGTTCCATTAATGATATAGAATGTATTAATATTTAAAACAAAATAATGTACTGAAAAATAGGGCCTATGCAAATATGTGTCAAACATGGTTTATTATAAAGACAAGGCGTGTTAATAAAAATAGAAATGAAACTTCATTATAAATGCGCTTTGCATATAAAGCAGCAATGGCTGACACATTTTTTTTCATTCTGTCATGACCGTTGAGTGGGTTAGTTAACATGTCAACATGTTATATTCCTTGACTATGTCACGCTGACATGACGTCCTTCTAGCTGTGAGGGTATATCTCCAGAGGTAGCGATGGACAACTCCCACACCTTTTGTATTTGTTTAGTCAAGTTTAGTCCATCACATTGAGTACATTGATAGACAGGTGACCATATATATATATAGTATGGTTGTTTCTTTTTTATGTCTTTATGTAAATATAGTGACACATATCCAGATCATTCACTGACCAGTGATGTCGCAACCTGTGATCAGTGAAGACCAACAGGTTGCGACGTTTTATGTCAGTGTTCACGCCTTCCATGACGATTGGTTTAGCACATACAGAATAAGTTGATTAGATTGTTGGGCAGACGCAACCTATTAGTTTTTAGGTAGGAAGAGACAAACTCTTCTTGAACACTGGTTCACCCGCCCTTTAATAGGCCACTGTTTATGTTTTACATTATCTCTTCTGATGTTTTTTAAAAATCTAATTGAGATTCATTTCCTTTAATTTTAACCATTAGTATCTGTTGAAACTATCCATGAGTTCAGCAGACTTCAAAAAAAGAGTACCTAGCTTGATGTGTAGACGATTGCACAGACTTAGGTCATATTCAGCACATAAGTTAATAACCTCTTAGCAGGACACACGCTCACGGATGTGGAAGAAATATAAAACTAACTGAGGTGTCGGTATATTTTAAGTGTTTTTTACCGGCTCCATTAAGTGGAAAGCCGCTATTAGTTTTGTGTAGTCTATCTTCAAATAGTACTGGACATCTGTACGAAATATATGGGTTTATTTAATGAACGGAGAATATAATAAGCTTTTTATTAAAAAGGCAGCGATTTTAGAGAAGAGATCTAGATCTATACATTGTCCTTCATAAACACAACGTTGGACTAATAAAAGATCTAGACCTATAGACTACAGTGTCTTTACAAAAACACATCGTAGGACAAATAACAGATCTTCTTGCTTTATGAGATTTTGATAACAAAACCAACTTAATTTCTCATACAAATGCAAATTTAAAAAATATTACACAATGTAGCGACAGAGACGATTGCAACGCGTGCAGTTAGAAGAATCACTTGTTTGTACCCTCAGTAGTATGGACCTACAGTAATTCTTTTTCCCGAATTTCACATTTTAAACAGCATTGAAACTTTATTCTAGATTTATAACATAGTGGGTACTAGACATATATTACCCGCGGTCAGCGGGGCTTAATTTGAGTATCACTGTCGATATAGTCACTGAGAGTGTTTTGGAAACAATTAAACGAAAAAATAATACTATAAGAAAGCGAATGCGTAAATTTAAAAAAATAGTAGGAATGGAGCTATCAAAATAGTTTATCGGCCTAAATCTATTTTTTAAAATAAAAACATTTGCTTGTAGGTCTTCATACATTTAGATCTAGATCTAGAGTCTAAATATATTAGAATGGATGTAGACCAACTATCATAAGAGTGAATTAAATGGCTCAAGAAGCTTATTAATTATTGTATGTTAGTATATTTAATATCCCCTATATAGAGCCTCATGTAGCCTGTCCAATCATAGTGTGTTTACATAGCGGTGTGCACGACACATGAATGGGACTATTAAAATGCATGTCAACATGGAACCTATAGCGAACGAATGCATGAAAAATGCTTTAGAAACACAAAATTTGATGGTTAATTTGATTAAAATATGAAATGAATGAACTTTATTTGTTTGTTAATGTGTCAAAGTATAAAGTAGAACTTTCCTCTTTGAATTAGATCTAGAATTAGAGTTAGATCTAGACTGTCTAGAGTCTAGACTTAGATGTCGGCTTCGATAGAGGAATGGGATTATAAAATACGTCATGATTTCTAAATTCGCATTTATAAGGAACGAATTTATGTAAAAATACTTTTAAAAGACAAATTTGAAGCTTAGTTTTATTAAATAATGAAATCAATAGAATTTATTATGCAATTTTCATGTGTCAAAGTATCTGTGCAAAGTGTAGTTCTTAAAAATTAGATCTAAATCTAGATCCTTTCGTTCTTTTCTCATGTAAACATGGTAAACATAGCCTAGGTTTATAAGATACTAATATTTTCATAGAGTTGGGAAACTTTTTTTTTTAGGGTCCTAAGTTTGTTGTAGGGTTACTATACATACATTACGGTTCCAGTTAGCAACCAAGGAACATTTCAGCCAAGTTTTATCGATTGGTGACATGGTTTTGATTTCTACATAGGGGCCTACACATACATACATACGCCTTACTTTCTACTTTATAATATAGATTATTGCTTAAATCATGATCCTATAATAAAACTATTATAAAACCTGAATTGCCTATAACTTATTCGTCGCTTGCTTTTATAATTATTTACGTATAAGAAGAAAAGTTCTCCCCACTCCCCACAGACCCCTTAGCAGATAGCTGTTCCTAATCGGCTGAAATATATATATATATATTTATATAGGGAGTGAGAGAGATAGATAGATAGATAGATAGATAGATGGATGGATGGATAGATAGATAGATAAATAGATAGATAGATAGATAGATGATAGAAAGATTGATAGAGATAGATAGATAGATAGATAGATAGATAGATAGATAGATAGATAGATAGATAGATAGATAGATAGATAATAGATAGATAGATAGATAGATAGATAGATAGATAGATAATAAATAGATAGATAGATAGATAGATAGATAGATAGGTAGATAGATAGATAGATAGATAGATCGATAGAGATAAATAGTAATTTTTTATTATTTATTCGTTTGTCTTTTAAAGAACTCGTTGCTTTGTGTTGGATGCTCTGATAACGAAAGTGACTTTGTGAAAGGTAAATGTAAAAATTTAAGTAAAAAAATAATTTAATTAAAAAAAAAAAAAAAAACATTTAAAACATGAAAAAATAGGTTAATTACTTTGATTGACACTGCACCTGCTATTTTGAATACATCCTGTGATTAAAAGTATATACCAATATACCCTTATATATAACCCTAATGGTTTGCTAAGGATGTACTTGAATGCTAAAGGAACATCTAAAACAAACTTAATAGTTAAGGTGTAAGCGATATATAGTACGTTCTAATTTGTTTGTTGTTTTTTTGTTCTATGTTGAGTCTTTTATTGCTTCGTTTTCTTTGTTCAGGCACACACGAGACATTGGTCTTAGATAATGGGGAAGCAGATCTTCACAAACATATTACTGTATGCCGAAAGAATCCCGGTCACAGAGACTTCATACCGCTTGATAATTTTTCGTTGGAACTTCTTCCTAAGGCCCATCAGTGCCATGAGCTTTTTAAATTGATCAGCGCTGTGGCTAGTCTCACCGTCAGAGTGGATGTTCGCATTGTCAGCCCTAAGAGACCTCAATTTTGGCCAGATTCAGACGTAACGTATCCATTTTATGACATGAGAGGCAAAACCAACTTAAGATTTGGAAGTGCGAAAGTTAGAAGTGTCACAAAAGTGGTACGTGCTTACAACGGCGAATCCAACCTACGGTGCCCTTGTCAAAGATGTCAAGGCTCAGAGTCTCCCAGTGATGTGTGGTGGAAGATTGAAGCCATTTCGGCAAGCCATGTTGTTTTCGATGACATCGAAGCTAGTTACACTTCTCTGAGGCTGTTCTATGATAATCAGCACAGTCAATACCTAACTCTTAACAAAGTCAATATGGATTCATCTAGTCTTCCTAATGATTGGTGTAGGTTGGTCAGTGTTACATGCGACTCAGGCTTGGTCAACCAACTTACCGCAAGCTTAAAACTCTACTTTGAACAGTGGAAAATAGTGCATGAAAAGTACCAGCGATCTCGGGATAAGGACAAGTTGACATTTGTCGTGTCGCACCCTCACGGATGTCCCAAACAGATCAGCATTGGAAAATGGACAGGAAAATATAAAGAAAATATGAAAAAGTATCTGAATAAATTTACATACAATGCAAGCACCTGCCCAGGAAGTAGTGGGGCACCAGTACATTGCGTTGGATACACGGGCTGGTGGTTTTGTCAGCAGGTACATAGTGGTACGCTAAACACAGGGCTCAATTACTGCGGGTATGGGTTAGTTATGTAAAGAATAGACCGTTTCTTTTCTTTGGCTATAAAAAAATGTCAGGGTCCATATTGTAGCGGAAATGTACATAGCACAAGACTTTATAAACTTTAAATCGCTGAATGTAAAGATATAGTTATAGCTTCAAGCCTAGTTTGTGTTCATTGTTTCCTCATTTATTTCGTTGGTTTATAGCTTATGAAGAACGTCCTTATTTTTTTTTTGGTTCACCAGGTTTTCTATTTATTAAATGTTCTATGCATGAATGAGTGTGTAATGTGCTGGGTGACCCATTTGAATCGGAAACAGGCAGACCATAGGGAAAGATACAATAATTAAAATATACAAAGTGTTTATTTTCATAAATGGCAAAGATAAATGGAATGACAGGATGTGGATTATATATAATCATCTCTCTTAGCACATGTATTAGAGAGAGAGAGAGAGAGAGAGTGTGTGTGTGTGTGTGTGTGTGTGTCACTTTGTCTTCGATTGAACTTATCTGAAGGTCCTATTGAGATCGGTGTTCATGGTGGACTGCTTGCAGCTGGAAATTGCGCTCTAGCAGGTAGAGGGTTGCCGATGGCTCAGTAATATCTCCTTATCCTATCTTATCTTATCTTATTTGATGCAGACATTACTTTAAAAAAGAAGATGATTACGTCCTACGCGTCATACATTTAATCATGCATATTAACCAATGACCTAAACTCTGCTAAGTCACTGTTGTGTTGGATTAGCGGTACATACAACAGCTCTTAAAACAATAGCCTGTTTTAGGATATAAGTGTGTAGAGTTTAGAGTTAGGCGCGTCCTGTCCAGTTTTTGTATATAGGTCATTGGTGGCAATAGCAATAAGAATTTAGGAAATTTATGTGTAATTGTATAATTTCCATTGTTGGTTGTGGGTGGTAGGGCTAGTTAATTTCTACACCTGGTATAGCAAATACTTTATTTACAAAAATTTTTCACTCAAATTTTTATTGTATTGAAAATGTACTGAAGTATAGGCCTATTTAGTACATTCATTATTGTACATGAATTATGAAAAGCTTTATGAGATAGTCTAAATCAGTGGCTCTCAAACATTTTTGACACCTTTATATAGTCAAAACCTGCCCATGGACCCTTGGGTGAAAAACTTTACAATTGTACATTATATATGTTACTAATGTAAAACAAAAACATCTCATTTAATGGTCGTCTATTGCAATTATAACTTTTGTTTCCAATAAATTTTAAGCATTTTATGAGTGTATTTTTGTCTGGCTCAATGTTTGAAAGCAGCAATTGCAAATCTAAACGAGGCACCAATTCATTTGGATTAATTTGTGATTGTGATCTAAGTCGTCCACACCCAGTAAGGAATTTTCAAGTGAAGAATGTTTCAAAATCTTTAAATTATGTCGCAATAGAATACTATGTAATAGACATTAAACAGAAGTAACATTAAAATTATCTGATTGAAGAAGTTATTTTAATTGTAGATACATTTCTTTTTTTTCCGCGGACCCCAACAGTTTGAAAACCTTTGAACTAAATTACTATTAATAATTAGAGTCTAGATCAATGATGGGCAAACTACGGCCCGCAGCCCAAGTAAGGTCCCCGGAAAAGTTTAATTCGGCCCGCGGCATGTTTTGTAATAATAATTAGAAATAACAAATTCCATTCACGATGTAAGAATTTAAGTTTTGAATATCAAATGAACTATTCAAGTAATATTGAGAATTTGAATTTGCATGATTCACTCAAAGTTGTTGTTCCATTAGTAGAGTTTCATGAGTGGCTTAAAAAATAATTTAGAGTATGTTTAAGGATGGCTGCCTGGTCGTGCGTTTTCCTGTCGTATGGATTTATCGATGGTCCCGGGTTCAAACCCTGCCCGCTCCCATCCCTCGTCGTCTTGCGGGAGGTTTAGACTAGGAAGTAAACTATCTTCAACTCTGAGGGAACATCCGAAAATTTAAAACATTTTACAAACAACATGTCTCTTGTCTCTAATGGGTACCTGACATTAGTTGGGGAAAAATAAAGGCGGTTGCTCGTTGTGCTGAATTATTAGGGTTCTTAGTTGGGTTGAGAAGAAGTGAAACCAAGTTCGAAATTGAAATAATAAACTGCTATCTAATAATCTTCTTTAAAATTCTTAATGTTCAGAATTAGAATTCTACAGTGGGTTGTCGAAAGTTTTCCAAATTTAATATCTCATGTCAAAGATTATGTTCAATGTTGATATCATTGAAATGTAAATATCATAATATAATTAGGAGCAGCTTAGAACAAGCTATGCCAGAGATACATTGACGGATGACTACTCAGTAGGCGTTTAATAATAACCACCTCCGAAGCTGAACCAAATTAAGAAGAACTATTATCACTCCTAGCTTCATGCATTGCATTAATTACATTTTGATATCATCAAATTCCGAAGTTCTAGATTTTCTTAATAAAAAAAAGTATGTCCCGTCCCATTTTTTTTTTAAATTTTTTTCGGGCCGCTCCTCAAAATGTTTGACCATCACTGATCTAGGTCATTGAATTGAAAATTAGTTGATATAGACAAGTTAGCCTCCTTCAGTTGTAGAGCGACTATGGTTCATCTTGAACACCTTTTATGTGACTGTGGAGCCCTATTTGGGAGAGAAAATCCTGTCCACATATATTGAAGGTTAAAGTGGCATTCGCTTTGGTGGTAGAGGAGCCGACAATTTTTCGTACGGCACGCTTTTCTTCCAGAGATAATGCCCAGTTGGTTTTTTTCAGTGTCCATAGCTTTCTTGGTCGCCGTCTCTCTTCAACGAGTGCGGTCTAGGGCTCTGATCTGTATCAATGTTCACTGTTTTTAGGTCTCGTTGTATTACATTTACTTAACGGGCGTGGGGCGACCAATTTTTGTAGAGCCAGACGATAGTTGCCCGTAGAGAATGATTTTTGGGATGCGATTGTACTCCATCCGGCGAACAAGTCCGAGCCATCGCAGCTGGTGTTGTCAAAAGACTGTAAAGATGCTGGGAAGTCCCGTTCGCACAAGTATTACAATACTGCTCACTCTCTTGCCATGTGGTTTTCAAGATCCTTCGGAGGCTGCGCAGGTGAAATGAATTTAGTTTTCTCTCTTGCTTTGCATAAGTAGTCCACGACTCATTGCCGTACAGTAGCGCACTCAGAACGCATGCCATGTAGACCTCCATTTTTATCACTCAAGTGAGCTTTTGGGTTTCCCAAAATTAATAATTACCAATAGTTTATTAACTAATTGTTTTTTTTTTTTTTATTAAGTCTTGTGTTGTCAGATCAAATAAACAATTGTGCTAAACTTCAGCTTGGTCCGAGATTGGTTGTGTAGAAATTACGAGTACAAAGTGTTTAACAGACAAACAGTAAAAATAATAATTTTAAAAATGAAATAGTGAAAAAGAAATTTTCTTTAAATGTTAAAAATTTATTCATGTTTTAGAGAGAATTTTAGTTTATTGCTAAATTTCCTAATCAATTAAGAGCATTTGCATTGTAGAAGAACAGAAGGAAATAATGACAAATAATGAAAAGTATTGAAAATAAAACAAGAATTAACTTTAGGCTGAAGCAAGTTGCAAAAAGTTCTTTTAATTTTCTTCTTTCATTTCACACACACACACAGAAGTATAATTTTATTATTGAACAGATTTATATTATACCGAAACTTAACATATTCTTACGATATGCTTTAAAGGCTACAATTTAAGTCCACAGTGTTTATCTTTAGTTTTTCCTAAACGACTAAATAAATACAACATATTCTAATAACGCTATCACTAGACCTATCGTGTTCAATCTGCTGATTACCAAGGTAAAAATTGTTCTGTATATTGACACCACATAGTACGGAGCAGGATAAAGACACGACAGCATCACAAGGAACTAACTTAGAAGTCAACTCGAAATTCTAGTGCTTTCAATCTATATGTGACATTCTCATTATTTTTTTTACATAACAATTGTAACTTTGTTTTTTTTTTCGAATCGAAATTTCTGTATTTATCATTAACAACCAAACATTGCATCGTTTTCAATAATCTTAATTCAATTAGTTACTTTATTAAGAGTAGAAATCAGAAAGTTTTAAATAATATAATAAATCTATTTTTAATTAAGATTATTTAGTTTTCATAAAGTTTTGGCACTAGAATTAGATCATGTATTGTTTTAAATATAACCTACTTGAATCTGTATGTTCTATACGTGATACCCAGACCCTTCAGTCATACAAGCAAGAACCTAAAATGTATTAGTAATAAAAGGTTTAGTATTACAAAACACAGAAAAATATTTTATCGACCTAAGTGTCACCTAAGTGTAACATTATTAAATAAAATATCTACCTTATAATAGTGTAAAACTAAATGTTACATTATCAAATAGAATTTCCACATAGATACACGTCATAAATTACAAAAAAAAATTGAAACCATCAGAAATGAAACATTATTGAATTATTCATGCATTCAAAACTGTTAATCATATAGCTTTGTGTTTCCAACAGACAGTGTGTCGACACATTTCTGTATGGTACAAAAAAAATGTTCTTTTGTTTTGTAGACGTTGGCTAGCGGTACTTCGTAAATACTTGGAACTGACGGCAACATTGTCTTTGGTGAGACATTTTTCCATCTTTCTGTAGTCGTGAAGATAAATGGGATTACACCATTGTCACGTATTACGAATTGAATTCTACTTTTAAATGGCTTGCCTAGGGGAACGTGACAATAGAAAAGCAGTTGTGTCACTTGTCTTAAGTCTGAATTTAATCAAAGACTTACAATGAATAATAAAAAAAAAATGACACAAGAAATCGGAAGGTAAAATATCAACTTAATGTTTAATCATAATATAACTCAATACAAAATGGAAGGGTTGACCAAAACCCTTTTACAAAAATGGCATGTAAAAATATTACAATACAAGAGTTTGAAAATATAATTACAAATACAAGCAAGGCCTTGAAAAAAAGAAAAATCTTAACTTACACGATCAAGTGGTATACCACGCACGGGTCACGCAATGTCTCCGCTATTCTGTCTCACGGCTGTCTCCGTATGTCTGTCCGTCAACGTTACGCGAGCGGTCTTTATATAATCTACCGCGCGTCGATATCTGGTAATTTCTAGAACAGAAAGTCATCAACACCCAGATCTAGAACGCTCTTCAAAGAGACAGAAGAAAAGAAAAAAAAACCACCCTCCTTTCAACCAGAGGTACACACATAGGTCAAGGACCGGTCACTGTCTGTGTGGCTTGACTCACCGTGAAAAATAAAATAAAAAAAAACTTATTACACAAAGGGGCAGACAACCTACAGGTCAAGAAAAAAAAACAATAGTATCTAGGCATTGTTACCTAGATACGTAACACCATGGACAACTTGCTGGTATGTCACACGGT